AATCTTACATTTGCGAAAAAAAAAACAAATTTACTCGGACTAAACCTTTTTGCTGCAAGACTTTAGTTAAGGGAAAAGGCTTTTTTCTGTAGAAACGATGCACAATGAAACTAAACTTTTAGGTTGTCCCAAAAGTAAACTCCATTTTCAGATTTCTTAAGCCAAACTTCATATATCTCAATCATCAGATCAGGTACACAGACGAAATTTTCAAGGTTATGATTAACAAGGTTTGCTGTATACAACTACATATTTGGGAGGAGCTTGTCTTGATGGAGGGGGAGTTTGCCATTTTTCATAAAAGTGGACAAAATTCGAAAAGTGCATTTTGTACATGGCTGTGCGTCCACTACATATCGAAGAATGTAGAGGTTTGTGGGATTGCTTTGGATAGAAAATTCGATTTCTTGGCATTTAGAAATTTTTCAGATTTTGACCTCGAACTTGCGTCGGTGAAACTTTTTGCAAATGTCTAAATGCCATATTATGGAGCTTGCTTTTTCTATATTGACTGCCTCAAAATTCATAATTGCTTGGTTAGATATATCTATTACTGCCAGCCCTAATCTAACGTCATAATGACATCTGAGCTGCAGTCAGCCGTCTGCAAAATTGGCATCGAAGATCGCATCTATGTGATGTATAGTAAAAAGTGACATCTTGCGTTCTAAAGGTGAACCTACCACTACGGGAAACATGAACTATACTAGTAATTGTTGGAAATGTTGTATTTTTGATAAAAACAAATCCTATGAAAGCTTCTCAAAAAGCTGACGATGTCAGATTTTGTACGAGTAAAATATGGAAAAAATGTGTCATACTTGGCCATCCTGACCAGGTTGCGATCCAGTTCGGCTCGTTCTTTTCTCTCTGCTTTGATCAGCTCACGAAGGTTTTCATATTGAGCTCTGAGCTGTCGGAGATCTTGCAAGGCTTCCTCCAATTGTCCACTAACTGCTGCTTCTTCGTATCGTGCTAAAGCTCAAAATGCCTTCTCGATAAGAATGCTGAACATGCTGAGCAGTACAAAAATGGAACAGATTTACCTTTTCCTTGCAGGCTGAAAAGTTGAGCTGACAGGTAAAATAGCATGAAAACCCATAATGTAACTGCTGCTATGGCCGCACTTCGGACGGAGAACATGCGGCTCCAGCCTGAAAAGACGAAATGAAGTAGCTTTTCGTATCACAGCTGTGTGAATGTCGTGTCAGAAAGGTCCGACGCAAAAAATGTGACAGTTGCACGAAAATGACTGATGTTCTGGAATGATTCACAAGACAATGCATTGTAAAGCTGTCACACCTAATTATAGAGCTGAGTAAATGCAAAAATTGGCTTTGGAAGGAGCAAGATGAAGAATTTCTCGCCGTAGTCGTCATAGTTTACAAACACACAACGCATGAGGGA